ATCGGCGTCGGCATCGGGGCCGACGGTGGTCGCCTCGGCATCGGTGCCGGCCGCCGGCTCGGTCTTCAGGGGCCAGAGGCCCAGCTCGGTGGAGACCTCTTGGGAGATCTGGATGGCCTCATGGGCGCACAGGCGCCCCCGCGCGCGCACCCAGGTGGGCAGGAGGCCGGCATCGCCGGACGAGGGGTGGTACGGGAAGGGGGACTTGTTGCCCTTCTGGAAGTGGCCGCGGTTCTGGATGGGATGGCCCCACGCCGGGCGCCAGGCAGGAGGGGGAGCCCGAGAGGTCGGGTGGCAGATGGCGCGAGGGGCGAGGGGCGGGGGGGGGGGGATAAATCCCGTGCGTACTAGTGATGAGGAAGAGGACGCCAGTGCAGACCCACTTGACGATCTCCCAGGGGAGGACACAAATGATCTGCCGTTCGGCCGAGGAAATCCGACCGGAAGGGAGAGGGAGGGAGGAAGGTCGCAGGACGTGGGTCAGGGGGAGCCCCGGAAAGTGGAGGAGGATGGGGGTGGGTGTGTATGCGCGGGCAGACGCGCAAAATAAAAAAATAAAAACCCGAGAAGACCACGCCAACAGCCCTCTCACCGTGGGAAGAGACCAGGAGGGCGCGACGCACAGAAATCGGGATGAAAACCGAGAGGCCGTAGCCAATGAGCGAGTACAACCGGACCAGCGAGAGCTTGGTATCGAAGTAGCGGAAGATGCCCCACACGGCCAGCGGCACCAGCAGGATGTACAGGTAGATGGTGGTGGCGGCCCAGGGGAGGGTGGTGAAGTCGGGCACAAACTCGTAGTTCGGATCGGCGAAGGCCTTGATCGAGTGCGCCAGATTACCGATGGCAAAGAGGACGAAGATGACCGTGGTCGACACCCAGAAGGGGCCGTACAGGTCCAGCGCCCCGGGCGGGACCACGGTGGTCAGGAAGTTTGGCCGGTAGGGGAGAAGCGCGTGCAGGATGCGCGACCCGACATCGGCCGTGTCCACATCGAAGTACTGTTGGTAGAACTCGATCTTGTAGAAAGGGGCCGAGAAGGTGTTCTTCTTGTCCTCGGTCGCCGGGGCAGCCGGGGCGGCCGGCTCGGCCGCCGGGGTCATCGGCGTGTCCGGCATCCGCGGCGACTGGCCAGTCGAGTAGGCCGACACCGACTGCGTGGCAACCGGGACGAAGTCATTGTTGTAGGCGGCGCCGGCTGGAACCGGGGCGTCGAAGGCTGTCGGGGTGGTGGGGGTGGGAGGAAGGGGGAGCAAGAGAGAGAGGGGGGGGGGGGGGGGGGGGGGGGAGGGGGGGGGGGGGGGGTGGGGGGGGGGGGGGGGGGGGGGGGGGGGGGGGGGGGGGGGGGGGGGGGGGGGGGGGGGGG